ATGTTGTGAAAATACTGTATTGGTGATCTTAAGTATGTTTTGTTGTAAGGACGAAGTTTTGTTGTAAGGACAAAGTTTTGTTCTGGCAGGCTGTGATTGTACTAATGAACGACTTTGAGCCTATGAAGGCTAGGTTTTTGACTTTAGAAGAGCTATCTCAAGCTGGGGGTGTGGCTCAAGTGGTAGAACGCTCGCCCAGCAAGTGCAAGCCCTGAGTTCAAATCCCATTACTGCCAAAAAATAAATTTTAAAGAGTTATTTTAATTTTGCACTTACTCCTATGATGTGATCCTTACTCTGAGTTCATGAAACTTATCTTCAGAGTGTGGCACTTCCAGAGATGTTACTAAAACCTTTGGAAAAACCCTGATTCACTCTGAGTGAATCTGAAAACCAACCTCCAACTTACTGTGAAATTTTCATACTACTCTTCAGTGTTTAATAGTTATTAATTCTCCTGATGTTTTCTTCTGCAACTCACTCCATGTTCCCTCTGGTTTCTGCCAGGCCCTCATCTAAATGAGATTTTTTTTTTTAGTACTGGGAATTGAACTGAAGGTTTTGTGTATTAGGTAAATGCTCTACCACACTTGAGCCATCTCCCTAGTCCTTTTGCTTTTAGTTTTATTTTTGATATAGGGTCTTGTGCTTTTTCCCAGGGCCAGCCTCAGACTGATCCTCCCACCTCCCCCTCCTGTACAGCTGGTATTACAGATGTGGGTTCCAGTGCCTTGCTTGCTTTTGAGATAGGATCTTGCTAACTTTTGCCTAGGCTGGCCTTGAACCTCTGTCCTTCTATTTCCATCTTTCAATAAGTGAGACTTTTTAATCTGATATTGTGATATTTTCTTAGGTGAGATGATTTTTGTTTAACAGCCTTTACTTAGATCTTGGAAATACAATCTCTAAAGGAGCAGACCAGAAATAAGAGACTGAACTGTGATAAATTGAAACAGAGGTTGGGGTATGGAGTTGGGGTGGCCCTTCAGGCATGTCCCAAATTGAGGCAAAGGGACTGGGTTCCTTTTTTTTTGGTGGTACTGGGGTCTTGAACTCAGGGCCTCACACTTCCTAGGCAGGTGCTCTACCACTTGAGCCACTCTGCCAGCCCATTTTTGTGTTGGGTATTTTTGAGATAGGGTTTTACAAACTATTTGCCTGGGGCTGGCTTCAAACTGTAATTCTCCTGATCTTTGCCTCCTGTGAAGCCAGGATTATAGGTGTGAGCCACTGGCACTTGGCTGAACTGGGGTCTTTGTACCCTGCACCTCTTCTACCCCCAATAAACCAGTCATTGGAAATGGGCTGCCTCTGGAAGCTGCCATACATTTTTTTAGGTGTGGCATCTTCCTTCAGCCTAAGGGAATTCCCAGATGGCAGCATGAGTCTTTAGCAACCAATTCTTCCAGCAGCACCTTACTCCTGAAGGAAGAATCTAGGAAACACATCAGTCTACTACAGTCCATCACAAATGCCGCTCAGATGCACTTGCTTTTTTGGGGGTCATACTGTGCTGGAGCTCAGGACGTTGCTAGGCAGGTGCTCTACCATCTGAGCCACGCCTCCAGCTTTAGTTATTTAGGGTCTTACACTTATGCCTGGGTCGGCATGGACTACAAACCTCTTATTCATGCTTCCTGTGCAGCTGGGATGACAGGAAGGCTTCTCTTGGAAGTCTTCACCCCCTGGAAACCTGGCATACACCACCATGCCCAGCTTTTCATGGGTTGAGATAGGGTCTCACAAACTTTGCCTAGGCTGGCCTCAAACCTGCTACCCTTCCAATCTATACCTTGTGAGTAGCTGGTATTACAGAGTGTGAGCCACTGAACCCAGCTACACTGGCTTCTTAAAGTAATGCACCAAGGATTGGGTATGGTCCTGTTGCCTGGGACCTTATGTAGGTTCCTTCCACTCAAGGTTCCTTTCATCTTGGACTAGCACTCTGTCCAAATCCTCATGCCTCAGGGTTCTTTACTGCACTTATCATCAAGCTTGGGGAAAAATATCAATGAATCATCTGAGTGCTCAATGTTTTACTCTCTGTCCTCTGTGTATAACACACCCTCTGGCTGGGTTTAATTATTCATACCAGTATGATTTTGTTGTGTATTGACTGTTAGCACTGCTTAAAGTCCAGTGGGATTCTTGTTTTCTCTTGAAAGCCTTCACCCTCTGGAAACCTGGGTCATTAGATTATTTCTTGCACTTTTCTCTAGTGGTTCCATCCTTCATCCTAAATGAAGAACACTGGTGGTGGCAACTATTTTAAGTTTGAGGTGGGAGTATTAACAAATCAGCATCACTCCAGGGCAGTCCATGGGTGAGGACATGAACTTTCCATTAAGGTGATGCATGAGACTAGACAAGATTCTGAGAAGCAAAAGCAGCAGCACTGGTTGTCTTTCACTTGCCCCAGTGGATCAACCTCCCCTCCCCTGCTGCCCCTAGGTAGGTTAATGTGAACTACATCAATGACCTTCCTTGCCTTGTGGCAACTGCTTGAATTTGCCCAATGGATAGCCCACACATGAGAACAGAATAGTCTGAGGTCTGGCCTTGGCTATTTCTTGCAGGAGATTCTGAGGCTAGATGCTAACCCTCACCTCTTTTCAGCTCTACAACCCTCTCTTCTCATCTGCACATTTCAGTGGTTGTTCCCTTCAATTGTCCCTTCAGGTGTGTGGGTCTACTGGAGCCTGCCCTTTCCAGCTATTGGGTTCTTCACCGCCTCTTGTGGTCTTCCTGTAACATGTTCCGAACTCTTGAGTTGCCTCTTTATAAAAGATCAGCTCATAGTGTCCTAGTCAGAAGATACCAACTGTTTCTAGCTGGGATTCTGTTATGCTAGCTCCTTGAAAGTGTAAGAAAAGTCTCAGTCCTCCAGGATTGGGATCTGATCACATTGTTTTCTATTGCTCCCTCAACACCAACTCATCCTACTGGTCTTCTTGTCATGGGTCCTTTGGATGTCAAGGCTGCTCTTGCCATACAAATTCATGTCTCACCGTCCCATCCCATCAAGGTCTCTGCTTAAATGCCCCTTAACTGAGATGTTTTCCTTCCTATTCCACATAACTCCCCATTATACTTAAATCTCTTGAAATGCTTTAGTTTTCTACATGACACCTATAATACTGCATTTTCTTGATTTTTCTTAATAATCCATCACCCTCTCTTCATTAGCATGAAATGCTTCTATGGCAAAACTTGCTTGACCCACAGAACATACTCAGTAAATAGACTAGTGGTTAACAGCATGGACTGTCTGGCTTCAAACCTGGGCTCGTCTTATTAGCAAGTGACTCAAGTGTACTATAATAGTTTTCTCTTCAATAAAGTGGGGTTAATAACAGGACACACCTAGGCTTATCATGAGTACTCAGTAGTTTATATGGCACTCTTGTCTGTCTACAAGAAATGCTATATTAAGTGCTTGATCATTTATTATCAATGCATTATAATACTTTTGCTAGGTAAAAATACAGCTCTATATAATAAACAATTCACATGAAAATGTCTAATTCTATATGCACCTTGTTATTGCGTATCAAAATAGGTAAGTAAAAAGTGACATTACAAGAATGTTAACATATAATCAAAATGGAAGACTTTAGTGTTTCTATTACCAAAGATTAAAAGAAAACATCTGAACTATGAAAACACAATTAACTTGTTTAATGTGCATATACTCTATTAGAGAATATACATGGTTTTCGAAGAAACATGGGTAATATTTGACAAGCAAATAGGTTTGCCAGTTAGATTCTGCATTTAGTTGGAAGAAAACATCACCTCAGAAGCAAACAACAAATCACTTTGGCTTCAACCATTAGGTGTTACTTTTAATCACCTAAGAGGTAACACAGGAATAAGTAGTCCAGAGCTGAAGCTGCTGATTGGAGGCTTTGAGGGAACCCAAAACATTGTGGAGTTTTTGCCAGCCTGGTTAAAAAGCAAAACAAACCAACCAACCAACCCAGCTCTTCATACTCCAGCCCTTGAGGCCAACTTCCAGGGAAAGTATGGTAAGATGAATAGGAAATGGGTGAGGAAAACGAGTAAGGAGGCTTCCCCAGACTCCAAAGTGACTTCTACCTCATTCTCATGGCCAGCACAGTGAAACAAAGTCTATTGGGTTTCAGGGAAACTTGGAGGATTATTTCCAATATTGGTGAGGGACAACTTGAACAAAAAAAATTTTTTTTTCTTTAAGCAAATAAGTAGGAGAGAATGGACACTGGCAAAGAGACTAACAGAATTTGTCATACTGGGATAAAAAGAGAGAAAAAAAAGACTCAATATCATAAGGTCCACATTCTGTAATAAAAAATACCACTAACTTAGAAAATATGTATCAGAAATATTGCCCAATTCTCATTATAAAGCATTATTTATTCAGAAAATTTTGAATGTCATGTATTAATAATTTTAAGAAGTAAATTACTGCTATTTTGTTCTTTGAGACAGGATCTCACTCTGTAGCCCAGGCTGGCCTCAACCTCTGCTCCTGCTGCCTCAGCCTCCTGAATGCTGGGATTACAAGACTGTACCACCACATCCAGCTCATTAAAGAACAAATCATAATACACTGCAATGCAATTTTGACAATGTTAACAAGGTTTATTTTAGGGAATAGATATAGACATAATTCCTTATATGAAAACAAAGACTCAAAATCTATGGGCTAGTGGACCAACTGACACATAAAACACGGGTAAAGGTAACTCCACGTTCATTTATATTTCTTGTTCCCAGTATAAATTATTTTGCAGTCACTAAGCGAAGGGCTGAGCATGAGGCAGCCTTACATAGATTGCATTCCCACAGTGTTCCACCAGTATGAGTACTCAAGAGTGGACCACCGAAACATTTTTCCAAAGTTAGTACACTTGCAGGTTTTACCTCTAGGGAGAATTTTCCTATTCTTCCTAACATAAAAAGGCAGTCCTGAAGATGTCCTGTTTCTTTATGTTCACAAGTTTCCTACTGAATGGGACAATGGCAGGCTTGCCAATACTGATGACATTCAATGGGGCTTTCTGTCCAGAATTAATTCTCATATGGAGAAAACATTCAAGGATTTCCCAGTCACTGCAGAGTTCGTCACTATCTTGTGGTCAGTTTTGTGAACACTTGTGCTGTAGGGTTTTCTTTTTGCATAAATGAGTGCTTCTTTTTTTTGGGAGAACACAGGGTTTGAACTAAGGGCCTTACACTTGCTAGGCAGGTGCTCTATCAGTGAGCTACACCCCAGAAGTGCTCCTCTCACATACGTGCTCCCCTGCTGTGCAGTTTCCTATGTGTGTGTCTGAAAGGATTTGCATCACTGAAGGCTTCTGCATTCTGAGGACCTTAATAGGATTTTCCCTTAGTGTGAGCTGTCACGAGACTCCTTAGAGCTATCACTGAAGGCATTCCTTTTATCATTCTATTCCTCAGATTTTCCTCAATACATCATCATTTGGGCTGAAAGCTTTGCTGTGTAGATTATACTTATAAGGTTTCTGTCCAGAGTGAACTTACAGTTTATTGAATGTTATTTCATATGGATTAAAAGGATAAGGATCTGCTGAAGGCTCTTCATTAATTTCATGGCACATTTCCCCGACGGTTCTCAGTGATCTGTTTCCTGGTATTCATATTTTCTACCATTTTCTCCACACTGCATCAAGACTGGTCTGTGTGTGACCAATACCACATGGAAGAAGTGAAAATATATCCTTCTGAGACTACACCAAAAAAACCCCACTGACTCGTTCACTGTCTTCTCTTGGACCACTTGCTTTGGAGAGAACCTGCTGCCATACTGTAAGATACTTAGCCCTGTGGACAGGCTGAAGAACAGAAGGCCTTCCATCACAATCAGCACTAACCTCCAGGCATGGGAATGAGCCATTCTGGAAGCAGTCCTTTCATCTGTAAAGATTTTAAATACCCACTGCTGTGCCAGACACCTTGACTGACTGCAACTGCACAAGAGATCCAAAGCCCGAACTACAGAGCTAAGCTGCTTCCAAATTCCTGACCTGCAGAAACTATATAATAAATGTTTCTCATCTGAAGCTACATTTTTTTGTTTGGTTTTCAGGGCGGAGGGAGGAGTGATTTCTCTCATTTTGTGTTAGGTAAAAGGCCATCAAAAGCTTTCTTACAGAAATTCCCAAGGTAACTTCTCATTGTAACTCATATCCACCTGTTGTGTATTCTCTTATGCACAGAGAGGTAAGAGTTACTGGTGAAAGATTTCCCACAATGGTTACACTCATAGGGTTTTTCTCCAGTGTGAGTTCGTAAGTGCTTCTTCACAGCTGAGAGATTATTGAAGGCTTTCCCACAGTCACTGCATTCATAGGGTTTCTCACCAGTGTGTATCCTCTTGTGCACAGTTAGAGAAAAGCTACTACTGAAAGATTTTCCACACTCATTACATTCATATGGCTTTTCGCCTGTATGAGTTCTCATGTGCTGTGTCAGGTAGGAGCTCTTCCTGAAGGTTTTCCCACAATCATGGCACTCATATGGTTTCTCCCCAGTGTGAATGCTATTGTGTCCAGTGAGGGAGGACCTAGTGCTGAAGGCTTTCCCACACTGATTACACTCATGGTGGTTCTCCCCTGTGTGGATTCTCTTGTGGCTTTTGAGGTTACAACTAGTGCGGAAGACATGAAAACACTGGTTACATTCATAGGGTTTTTCTCCGGTATGAATTCTCACATGCAGTCTGAGGGATGAGGGATCACTAAAGGCCTTCCCGCAGTGATTACATTCATAGGGTTTCTCCCCATTATGGATTCTCCTATGGATTGTGAGGTAAGATCTGCTGCTGAAAGATTTTCCACACTGACTACAGTCATAGGGTTTTTCTCCAGTATGAATTCTCTTGTGCTGGGTAAGGTTCGATTTTGTGCTGAAGACTTTAAAACACTGATTGCATTCATTGATTTTTACTCCACGATGGCTTCTCTCCTGTTGTTTAAGAGAAAAATGTAATTTTGAGTATTTTACATTTTTATATGATTCTTTCTCCCTGAAATACTGTTATATCACTATAATTATATTTTGGCTGTCTTTAGTGCTTATATATGGCTTCTGCCCTGCTTAAGCTTTAGCAGTTAAAAAAAGGAAATTTTTCACCACAAGTCCTGACAGTATTTACAAGATATTTTCTAAGAGATTTAAGACCAATTTATGCTTCAAGCATAATTTAATGAAATATTTACTGTGGATACTATAAGTGAAGAAGCAAGTTTGGTGCTAACTTAGACTTTCTCCCAAATCATAACAGTTTCACAGTATCTCTCCAAGGACACTGCTTTCCATAATGATTCTCTGGGTTATTTTGTCTTCTAATTTACCACATTTTCCTACTGAGGAACAACAAAAACCACTCACGTTAGTCTTACCATTTTTCCACGTTTAGACTGTTCTCGTTTATAAACATGCTTTTTAGGAGTTAGCCACTTGGCTTTAAGTACAGTCTCCAACTCTGAAACAAATTGAAAAGAAATTTAGGTTGATGGAGGAAAATGGTAAAGTGCAAAGGTGGCCTTTGAGAAATTAATTCTCAGGTTTGTAATGAAGTGCATGTGGTTATGGAAATTTTAGGTATTAATTTAAAAGAAATGATTCTAGGAAAATGTTGAGATAAGAGATTGACAGAAGAAGGAATTACCAGGAATGCAAAGTAGGACTTAAATTTCAAAAGGAAAAGAACTGTATTTTTGTTTCTCCTCAGAGGCCAAGGGAAAGTATGAGTTGATGAAAAAACAGCTAAAGAAAAAAGTACACAAGGAAGCTCATGCCACGTGTTCTTTTCCATCTTTGTCAGAAAAAAGGGGCACGAGGTCCCGTGATGGATATTAGCTACTATAATATTCCAAATTCTTCATCCCTGACTACAGTTGTTCCTCACAGGGATCATATTGACCTAGTGCTCACCAGGACAGGTGTCTGGGAGAATTCCTCTTTCCTCTGTCATCACCTTGTCTTCTTGCTCCAACTGAGAGATCAGATTGGGTTTATCAACATGACATCCTAGGTATGAAGAAAATACATATGATATAGGGAGATTATTCAGGGGAAAAGAAACTCCATGAAATGGAAGCTGATACTTCTGAAGATTAAAAAGTGTGACTGACTTTAGACACATTGGAATGATTTTTCTCAATTCTAAAAAATACTGTAACTTTCAGAAGGAAATAATCAGGGTGATAGGGCATAAACAGTACCAGAAGCCCATGCCTAAGTTCAAATACACACTTCAGATAGCCTAAAACTTTTCACCATGGAGAATACAAAGTGAGGGCAAGAAAAGTCATTTCACAGGGAGGGAATTAGACACCTCTGTGAAGGTGGGGACCATGTCTATCTTATTCACCAATGCACTCCCAAATCCCTGTGCAGACTTAGGGACAAGAAAAGTGAAACAGGGAACTCCAAAAGCCTGTATCTCCACAAAAAACAGTAAAGAAACTTGCAAAAATGTTGAAGCACCTTTATTAGAATTCTGGAAACTTCCCCAAAGCTTACAGTAATCAGTAGAACGGCTAATCAAGAACTACAACCAAAACAAAAAAACCAAACAAAACCCAGCTAAATCTGGGTAAGAGAGCTTTATGATATTTTAAGTGACCTATACATATGTTCTTTTCTGCTTTGGCCATGACCTTGAAGACAACGGCAAGCATTGATAGTCCTGGAGGGAACAGAATGGAACTTATTCTATGGTTACTTTTGACCTGTCTGGGGACCTCACGCAAGATTGGCTCAAAGGGCTTGTGTTTATTTGTACAACTGCAAGCTCTGAGTACTAAGCTAGCTATGTGGGACACATGTGATGAACACATTTAAAGGCCAATGGATTAGTATTGCCAGAGGCAAGTGAAAACCACAGACACAGAAATCTAGTAAAAAATAAAAAGTCTGGAAGGAAGAGCAGGGAAAGAGATGTTTGGAGTGTATGGCTTTGAAAAGTTCTCTGATGTTTGCAGGAATCTAGACTGCTATGCACAGGTGTATGCTCAGAAAAGACCTGAGGCAGCACTAAACCCCTGCCCTTGATATTGACCTGCAGGCTCTGTATGAACAGGAAGTGCAGGTCAAGGCAGAGTTGTAAACTGCCTACCTTGGTTTGTATTTACATGCCCTATCCATGTACAGACCCCATCTGAAGAGACTGGAAGATTCTTGTGTTTGGTTCCAGGCATTCAAAGAAATCTTGCACAAACCACTAGAAGACCATTAAGATAACAAAAAAGAGACTTTAGTGGCCACATATGACATTACAAAATTAGTTCTGAAAATGACCAAAGTCAAATATAGCACCACCATTCAGTTACAACAAACCCTAGAGATGGGGAAAAATCTGATTCCAGAAAGCAATACAAATCTAAAATCTAAAGTCTGATATGCTCCAAAATTCAAATCCTTACAAGCAGTGACTTTCTTTTTTTTAAAGTTCTGGATTTTGGAGCTTTTCAGATTTTAGATTTGGTAGGCTCAATCAGTAAAGCCTATGCAAATATTCTAAAATTCACTAAACTCCAAAATATGAACCACTTTTGGTCCCAAGCATTTCAGATAAGTAATACCCAACTTTCATTATAATTCTTTAAACTTCCAGTTTTCAACGAAATAATTGTGAGGCAGTCAAAGAAACAAAAGTCTGGCCTGTTAAAGAAGAAAAAAAAATTGGTAGAACTTGTCCCTGTGCCCAAACATTGGACTTACTAGACACCCCTCCACACACAAAGTCAACTATTTTAAATATGTTTAAAGGAACAAAATCAACTATTTTAAATATGTTTAAATATGTTTAAAGGAAACAACATGTAAATAACTAAAGGAAATCAAGACAAGAAATTCTCATTAAACAGAAAATATCACGGAGAGACAAAAATCGGAGAGACAAAAATTTCATTAAAAAAGATGCCAGACAGAAGTTTGGGGTTGAAAACTGGAAATGAAATGGAAACTTCAGAAGACAGTATCAACACCAGTTCTGAGCAGGCGGCAGAATAAGTGACCATGAAGACAGGACAATTGATATTATTCATTCTGAAGTACAGTAAGAAAAGAGAGACGAAGAAAGAAGGAATAAGAAAGAAGAAGAAAGAAGATGAAGACAAAGGAAGGAGGGAGGAAGGAGGAGGAAGGAGGAAAGAGGAAGAAGGAGGAAGGAGGAAGGAGGGAGGAGGGAGGAGGGAGGAGGGAGAAGAGAGGAGGGAGGAGGGAGGAGGGAGGAGGAAGAGGAGAAAACAGAATTTAAGAGAATGAAGAAAGGAATGAACAGAGCCTGTGGGATACCATCAAACATACCAACCTAGGCATAATGGGAGTCTCTGATACAGAGATAAGAAAGAGAGAGGAAAGAATACTTAAAAACCAATGGCTAAAAACTTTCCTCAATTTGAAGAAAGATAAAAATGTTTAAATCCAAGAAACTCAACAAAACCCAAGTAGGACAGAAACACATATTAATCATACTCTGCAAAGACAAAGACAGTACCGTAAAAGCAGCAGGAGGAAGGTAACTCATCACATACACAGGACCCTCAGTAAGATTAATAGTCATTTTCTTATCAGAAACCATGGCAGCTGCCAGGCATTGGGATGATGTATCCAAAGTACTGAAAGAAAAATGCTGACCATCCCAGCACTTGGGAGGCTTAGACAGGAGGACTGTGCAGTTGGAGCTACATAGTGAGACCTGATCTTGGAAAAAAAATACAAATGGCCAATAAATACATGAAAATATGTGCAGCATCTTTAATCATCAGGGAAATGCAAATCAAAACTACATTGAAATTCTTTCTCACTGCAGTCAGCATGGCTATCATTCTGGTGTTGAGGATGCAGGGAAAAAGGAACTCTTATGCACTACTGGTAGGAATGTAAATGAATCCAGTCACTATGGGAGTAAGTGTGGAGGTTTCTCAAAAAACTAAAAATAGAACTTCCATATGATCCAGCCATACCACTTTTGGGTATATACCCTAAAGAATCAAAGGACATGAAAATAAAAGGGGACTACTTGGGATGTGAAAGAGGAAAGGGGGATAAGAAAGGGTAACAGAGGGAGGGAATATGATCAAAGTACATTATATTCAAGTGTGGCGATTTCACAGTGAAACTCATTACTTTGTATAATATAAATGCTAATTTTAAAAATGAATGAAAAATTACATATACCCACACAAAACATGAAGCAATGCTAAAGGGATACCTTCAGACTGAAATGAAAGGACAATGAAAAGGAACTCAAATCCACAAAAATAAAGAAGAATATTGGCAAAGGTAAATCCAGAGGTAAACATAAGCAAATGACAATGCAGTTTTGATTTGCAGCTCTTTTTTTTTCTATACATGATTTAAAAAAAACCACTTAAATTAATTATAAATTTACTTTAAGGGTACACAATGAATAGATGTATTTTGTGATGCAACAACTAAGGGAGAAGGAATACCATACAGGAGCAAAGTTCTTTACACTACTGAAAGTAAGTTGGTATTAGACCAAACTAGATTGCTATAAAGTAAAACATGAATCATAAACTCCAGGGAAACCACTAAGAAAAGAACTAAAAAAACATAAAAAGAAATGAGAAAGGGACCAAAATAGTCCAACAGAAAATACTTCATACACAAAAAAGTTAACAATAATGGAAGAACTAAGTAACAAAAATGATACAACACATAGAAAAAAATAGTAGATAGGTAGCAAATGGTAAGTAGGCAGAAGGTCCTTTACAGTAATTACATTAAGTGAAGATAGATTAGACTCTCCAATTAAAAGACAGATTTTTAGAGAATGGATTTAAAAATAACCAAATCATATCCTGATCTGTAAGACATTTGCCAAAGACACAATCTTGTAAAGGATGGAAAAGGGTATTTCTTACAAACAGCCACAAAAAGAGAGATGGTGTAGCTAATGGACCTTGAAACAAACACTACTCCAAGACACAAAAACACATTACACATCTAAAGGATCAATTCATCAAGAAAACGTGACAATTACATTTTTGGATCTCTGATGGAGATTCAAAATATATGAAGTAAATCTGACAGAACTGAAGGGGGAAGTAGAGTTCTGAATAATGGTTTGATACTTCAATACCTTACTTTCATTAGTGGACAGATCAACTCACCAGAAGGTCAGTAAGTTAAATAATACTATAAACCAACTGGATTCAGATGATATAAAGAACAGTCCACCCAACAGGAGAAAACACGTGAGTCTCAAATGGATATGGAATATTCTCCAGGATAGAACATAGGTTAGACCATAATACAAGTCTCACTAAATGTAAAAACAATGACATTGGTGGGCACAGGGGCATGCACTATAGTCCCAGCTACTCAGGAGGCCGAGGAGGGATGATCCCTTGAACCTAAGAGTTCAAGACCAGCCTAGGCAACAGAGAAATCCTCTGTCATAAGCAAAAACTAAACAAAACAAAATGAAACAAAGTGAGTAAGATCATACAAAAATATCTTCTTTAATTATAATGGAATGAAACTAATAATGAGTCACAGAAGGACATGCATTGGAAAACTTACTATTGTTAAAGTGACAGTATTAGGCAAAGGAATCTATAGAGATAATTCAATCATGATCCAAATTCCAGTTGCCTTTTTTTTTTTCCAGAAGTGGACAATCTTAAATTTCATAAATTGCAAGGGATCTTGAATAGAAAAAAAGTCATGAAAAAGAAGAAAAAAGTAGAAAGAGTCAAACTTCCATAATCAAAACTTACTACACAAAGCAACAGCTAGTAAGATAGAGTTGTACTGGCAAAAGGACAGACATACAGACCATTGGAACAGAACTAAGACTACACAAATAAACTCTGGTGTTTATGGTTCATTAATTTTTTTGTATGTGTGGTGCTTGGAATGGAACCCAGTGCTCTACCACTGAGTTACATTCTCAGCCCTAGTCAATTGGTTTTGGACAAGCATTGTAAGACCATTTAATGAGAAAAGAACAGTTTCTTCTACAAAGGTGTGGGAACAACTGGAGACATACATGTAAAAGAATGAAGTTACAGCCAAGATGCCCCACTACTGACGTATGGATTAAGAAAATGTGGTATTTATACATAATGGAATTTTATGCAGCCATGAAGAAGAATGAAATCTTATCATTCGCAAGTAAATGGATGGAAATGGAGAACATCATTCTGAGCGAGGTTAGCCTGGCCCAAAAGACCAAAAATCATATGTTCTCCCTCAGATGCGGACATTTGATCAAGGGCAAACACAACAATGGGATTAGACTTTGATCACATGATAAAGCGAGAGCACACAAGGGAAGTATGAGGATAGGTAGGACACCTAAAAAACTAGATAGCATTTGTTGCCCTCAATGCAGAGAAACTAAAGCAGATACTTTAAAGTTACAGAAGCCAATAGGAGAAGGGGACCAGGAACTAGAGAAAAGGTTAGTTCCAGAAGAATTAATTTAGAAGGTAACACACATGTATAGGAAAGCAATGTGAGTCAACTACCTGTACAGCTATCCTTATCTCAACTAGCAAAAACCCTTGGTCCTTCCTATTATTGCTTATACTCTCACTTCAACAAAATTAGAGATAAGGGCAAAATAGTTTCTGCCTGGTAGTGAGGGGGTAGTGGGGGAGAGGGAAGGGGTGAGGTAGGTAAGGGAGGGGGTGGGGGAAAGGGGGAGAAATGGCCCAAACATTGTATGCACATATGAATAAAAGAAAAAAATAAATAAAAAGGAAAAAAAAAAAAAGAATGAAGTTGATCCTCTTCCACATCACAGGCAAAATAAACTCAAAATGAATCAAGCACTGAAATGTAAGAGCTAAAGCTAAAACACTGTTGGAAAAAAACCCAAAGAGGTAAATCTTCATGATCTTGGGTTTCACAATGGTTTCTTAGGTGTGATGAAAAAAAAAAAAAAAAAAGAAAACAAAAACTAGGTAAGATAGTCAGACTTCATTCAAATTACAACTTGTGAATCAAAGAACACTATCAAGAAAATGAGCTACTCAAAGGATGGGGAAATAATTTATAAATTATATTTTGAGCAAAGGTCTAGTGTCCAGAATATATAACAAACTTTTCACAGTCCACTAAGAAAATGACAAACCACCCAATTAAAAAATGGACAAAGGACTTGAATAGACATTTCAACAAAGAAGATATTCAAAATAGCCCAACAAGTACTGAGAAAATGCTTGATGTTTTCACTCGTTAGGGAAATGCAGATCAAAAAAATAAGATAGGTGTTGGGAAGATGTGGGGAACACTGGGGTCCTCAAGCACTGGTAGGAATGAAAAATGGTACAGCTTCTAAGGAACAGTTTGGCAGTTCCTCAAAACAGAAATATGAGAATTTAATGCAGGTATTAAAACAAAAACTTGTACACAACATTCATAGTAGCATTATTCATAATATCCCCAAAGTGGAAACAACCCAAAATGTTGACCAACTCATGAATGGATAAACACTATTTGGTATGTCCATACCACAGAATATTCAGTCATAAAAAGAAATGAAGCATGGATACACACTACACCACAGTTAAACTTTTAAAATATTACATGAAAGAAGTCAGACAGAAAGGGTCACAGGTTTTATGATTCTATTTATATGAAATGTTCTGAAAGGCAAATCCAGAGACAGAATGCAGCTTAGTGGGTATCAGTGGCAATGAGTGTGTGTGTGGGGAGACAATGGATATTGACTGCTTAATGATGATAAGGTTTCTTTTAGGGGTTGTATTAGCCCCTTTTCTGTTGCTGTAACAAAATATTTGGCCTGGATACTTTATAAGGATAAGAGGTTCATTTGGGCTCATAATTCTAGTGTTTGGAAAGTCCAAATAACATGGTGCTAATTCTGTACAACGTACTCTGGCTTTGTCACAACATGGCAGAGAAGTAGAAAGGGAACCAGCAATAAGGAGAAGAGGCTAACCACATGGGGTGGCCTCTCTTTGTAACAACCCACTCTCAAGAGAAGCAACCCAGTCTTGTGAGAACTGACCCACTCCCAGAAGACAGCATGAATCTTATCTGTGGGTATCATCTCTTGATCCAATCATATCACACTAGACCCCACCTCTTTAAGTTTCCACTACCTCAATACTATTTCACAGGGGACTGGGTTTCTAGCACATGAACCTTTGGGGGACAAACCACAGCAAGAGTAATGAAAATGTTCTGAAATTACAGTGCCACATAACCCTGTGAACATATTAGAAGATGCTGAGTTGTATGCTTTAAAATGCCCTGTGAATTTTAATAATAATAAAAAAAAAGAATAAAAGGAAAATCTCCTCCTTGGGTCAATGGATAAATACAGGGCTGACATGGCTTACCGAGGGAGGCCAAGTTCCTGCAGGTCTCCAGCATCACCTCCCTGTACAAAGTTTTCTGTGAACGGTCGAGCAAGGCCCACTCCTCCTGGTTGAACTCCACAGCCACATCTTCGAAGGTCACCAGGTCCTAAACCATTGCAAACATCTTGGCTTAGCAAAGGACCCCACCAATATGAATAGCAAGAGGCTCAGGATGGTTAACCAACTCAGGGATGGAAAACCAGGGCACAAGACATGTGTGCTGGTTCCGAGGAGGTTCCAAGCAGTCCTATGTTTGGCTTCTGGATTCAGCCCTCAGTGCTCATCTCCTGTGTATTTGGCCCACTCCAGAGCACTACTATTCAGTTCCTACTTCTTTTCCCACTTAGACTGTGAGCTCCTGAAATCTAATTCCGTCAATCTCCAGGGCTGAGCACAGGCCTGGGACTTTGCATAAGTAGGAGAAATACTTTATGAATGAATGATTTCCCCATGGCATGATAAACTGCCTGGGGACACACTAGGATCTTTACTTGGCTTCCCCTTAAACTCTCAGGAACACAAGACAGACTCAAGAGAACTTGGAGTGAGCACTGAAAATGCACTACTGTTGACATACCTGGACACCTTCTGGGCAGCCTCCCCTACCACCCTGCTATCAGATGCCCAGAAATCCTGAGATGTTCAAGGACTGGATATAGTTGTGAGACTGTAGGCTGTGGAAAGCAACACGTCTAACATCTGCTGAAGGAGTAATGATTTGGAAGAATAAAGATCTCACTCACCTGAAACCAGCTAGTCAGGAATTCATTGACAAGCCCTTCCTTCCCAGTACATCCTTTCTGAGGAGAGGCCACATACAGGGAGGACTGAGCTGAGGAGGAAGAAATGAGTCTGAACAGTCCAGGCTGCCCTGGGTTCTGACACTCTGGAGGCTTCTCTACCCACCTGTGACTGACCATATCCCAACATACAACCACAAAGCACGTATGCACACACAAGCACACACCTCCAATCCCACAGGCACCATTACAGCTTTTGTAAGAAACCAGGGCATAGCCCTGTCTTAGGCCAGGCTCAGAAAATAGGGCTCAGAGGTCTGATTGCACATAAGAAGAGATCATTTCCACTTCACAGATGAGGAAACTGAAGTTTGAAGGGCATCACTGTTTTTATCAGGTTCACAGGAAGAATCAAGGATATAATTCACAAGTTCATGCACATTCACCACACAGGTGACAGACACATCCACAGGTATCCACCACCTTAAGTCCCAAATCCCAAGACCTGCCCATCAGACCCAGGGATCTCTGGGCTTCTCTCCTACTTCACCTGTTCAGTTCATGCTTCCTTCACAGCTGTTCAGCCCCCTCCCTGTACTGTTCTGTGGGCGAGAGGCCTTTAAGCTTGACTTTGGCTGCCAGGACCCAGGAACTTACCACAACTAGGTGGCAGGACAACAGCTGCCATCCTGTGATGCTGACAGCAGCGGTCTTGAACACAGGGCAGGGCGAGGACTGGCATGTGCCTCTCCTGACTCCCACAGGCACCCAGGCAGTGCTCTGGAATAAACAGGAGATACCAAGTCTGCACAACCATTCTCCTTCCTGTGCTGCTGAGGACAAGCCTCTCGGCCTGGTGTGTCCTCCCTCAAGACGCACACTGTCTTCCACACTGAGCATTCATTCTGCTTAGTGTAGGATGGATTTACAGGCATATGATGGCAAAACCTGCCTTCCCATGTCCCCAGCAGTAGGACCAGAAACATAACTGCTCTGCCCCTCTTTGAAAACTCTGGCCCAGTCTCACGGCACAGGTTTTAAGCCAAGCTGTTGTCACAAGCACATTCTTGGCTCAACTTGTCATGCCCTGGAGAGTTTGATCACTGACTCACATACTCTTTCACCTTCTCCACCTCACTCGGGTGATGGCAGAAACCTTCATAGAATCGGGATGCCTCAACTCTCCAAGGCCTTTGGCCTCAACTCCACCTCAGCCCCACATTTCCACGAGTCCTTCCAGCCTGCATCAGCTCCAGGCTCTATTACACCACCTGAAAAACTGTTCAGAAATCTCCCTCTCTAAATCTAGCCTCCTTCCTCTTCTTTTGTGTTCACTTGATGTTTTCCCTTCTCACTGCATCTAAACACACCAACACTTCTGTCCACCTTCTAACTTTCTTGTTGGTCATCAGCCTCCTCCTTCCTCTCCTCACTTTATATTCAGCCAGCTGGGATTCCATGGTCCCTCATGTCAATCCCAGGCCCTCACCCCAGTTCAGCAGAATTGCAGCCACGCAGGATTCCAATCATCTGACCACTCAAAGGGTGACTAAGTCAGTGAAGAAACATGCAGTCAGAGAAAGACAAAAAAACCTGAAAACATTTTTAGGTAATGAGAGAGATTATTATCTCTGATCAATATATATGGAATAGTTCCTTTTTTTTTCCAGTATTGGGATTTGAACTCAGGGCCTTGTGCTTGTTAGGCAGGTGTTCAATCACATGAGCCACTCTGTCAGCCCTATGGAATGCTTCATTTTTCTAAGAAGGGAAGGCTTCATTTCCCTGTAGTTACAGAATAAAATATAATCCCTCAAAACTAGTTTCCTGGGGTTTGAGAGATTTGAAGGTGCCCTAACAATAGAGTTGCTGGGGGGACTCTGACTCCTGCATTTCTGACAGATTAATAACTTCTACCTGAAAAAAATAAAATGATGTTTACTTTCAAGTTCTCCTCCCCAGAAACTGTGCAAAAGGAATCCTACAGATGTGATTAAGGTAAAGACTCTGAGATGAGGAGATTTTCCGGGATTATCCATACTGGATTATGCATGGTCTTTATAAAAGGGAGGAGAGTCAGAGTTGAAGGATGTGTGACAATGCAAGCAGAGGTATAAAGGTGAGGGAGGGTAAAGGAAGAGAGAGAAATTGGAAGGTGCTTCCTGTTGGTTTTAAGATGGAGGAAAAAGTCAAAGGCAAGGAAAGCAGATAGTCAGTGAGGTGAAAGGCAGGAAGTGGATTCTTCTTGGGAAGGAAAGCAGGCATCGATAAACTGAGGATTCTGGGTTCCAGAGCTTTGAGAGAGTAAGCCCACATTGTTTGAAGCCACTGTTCGTGGTCATTTGTTATAGCAGTCACAAAAAATCACTGCCACTGCCTCTCCCACCAAATTTGCAGGAAGATGGATGAACGGGAGATCACCATGTTAAGCCAGACTCAAGACTAATAGGGTATGTTTTCTCTCATAAGCAGAGTCTAGATTTAAAAAACAGAAACATGGAAACAGAAGAGGGACAATTTGGAGAGGGGGGCTAGCAGGAGGGGAGACGGATACAAGTGGAGGGTGGGTGAATATGATTGAACTACCTAGTATATAAGTTTAAATGTTACATTGAAACCCATTATTTTGTACAATTAATTTAGAAAATGAGAGAAATAAACAAAAACAAAAACACACCCAAAACCTGACCAAACAAGCAGAGGACTTCTCCTTTCTCTCCACTATGGACCCAATGTGCAGTTAGGTATGGCTTCAGTCACTGAGCCAAAGGAAAAGATGAGGGTCAGGATCCAGCCAGCTCACTATATTTGGAAGAAGAAAGCAGGCAGAGGAGGTGCTGAGACATGTTTGGGGCCCAAGTGCCTTCGAGGTCATCTGCCACCTGAAGTCTATTAGAGCAGGAGGGGGTTTTGTTAAGTTTACAGATTCAGTGACTCCCAACCCCACCCTGGATATACTAGTACTGGACAAGGGTCACAGGAGAGGGATCACTCTATGCCAGCAATACCCAACAGAACGTCTGGTGATAACAGAAATGTTCCAATAGCCACTAAGTAGCCACATGTAGTCACTAAGTCTTGAAGTGTGGCCAATGTGAGTGAGAGAATGATTTTTTCATTGTATTCAGTTTTCATGGTTTAACTAAAATAGGTCTATGTGGGTGGTGGCTACCACAGTAGACAGGGCAGCATTAGATACACATAGGCCTGACCTCCTTTAGGATGCAATGAGAAAAGGTGGCAAAGTGAGGGAAACATGACCATGGGTGAGGGGGCTGCCTGCAGGTTTGCACAGACAGGAACAAGGAGACATCAGTGCTCTATGCCACGTGACAACACACACATGAATGAAAGCATCACCATCCACTTTCAGTTCTAAACTCCAAGATCTCATCTTTCTAGTTCTTTCCTGCGCCACAGCCATCCTCCAGGTCTTGAGAACAATCATCTCACTTCCAAACCTCTCCCTGACATCTCCCATCTCGCCTCTTAAAAGTCTTCATTTTGAATCCCGAAGTCCACTTCACCTAAGGAAGAGACAAGCTTAGATGAAACTCTCACCACGCTATCCCAGTTCCCATCTTTTCAGGATCTTCCCACTGGCCTCAGTACAGACTTCAGAGTCAGGTCAGGTCTGCTTCTGCCTCCCAGTCAGATCTGACAGGTCCTTTTCCCTCCACTGTCTCAGCCTTGGCCATCTGACTTCCTTGTTCACAGAGCATGTGGGCTTTCTTGTCAGGGGCTTTCCTTATGAAGTTCACTCCACAGGCAGTGCTCTCATGAACACACTCGTCCCCTTACCACAGTGTAACTCTGCATCTAGTGAGATCCAACCTTATTTTTAGCTCTCAAGCTAATTATTACTCCTTCCAAGAGGCTTCTCTGTCTCTCAGACTGAGCCCTACAACACTCTCATCATCATCATCATCAGTGATGTATACTCCATGAAGGCAGGACAAGGTCTGTTTTTGTTTTCCAGGGTCCTTGTGCATTTGGCCCAAGACCTGGCTCAGCAAGGAGACCAACCCTCCTGGTTTGTGTAGGACTGTTGTGGTTGGAACACTGAATATCCTATATCCTGGCAAACCCCTCAGTTCTGAATACATGAGACAGTTGGTCATTGTAAATTGTGTACGCAACGAAATGTCTACTGCATGATAAGCAAACATTCCCTCAAGAATGTTATAGGAAAGCTACAATAGAAAAAGGTAGGGGTGGGCGTGTAGCAGCTCAGTGGTAGAGCACTTGCCTAGCATGCGCAAAGCTTGAGTTCCATCTCCAGCATTGTTAAAAAAAAAAAAAAAAGACATATAAGCATATAGTTAATAAACCCCACAATAAATATGATTACTTATGAATCAATATATTGCCATTTCAGAAAAGTTTTAAGAAACTTAATCTATTAGGAGGCAAGGTAAAGATAATCTTGAACGGTAAGACCCTGGTTTCCAAAAATATTGTAGCTTAATATTCTTCTGGATGTTTTAAATCTCATTGGGGGAAAAGAATCCACTTGCTCAAAATACATCTAGTTGCTGGTTGATTCAATTTCAAATTTCCATTATGAATACAGGGAAACTCAAATAATCTTTTTCACCCCAAAAGCCCCTGTATTTTGAAGTTTTGTGGAAGAGTCACAGTCTTAGAAGCTGAATAGAATGGGCCTGAAGAATGCAGTGTAGTAATCCTGCTAAATCTTTAGTGGGAAGATTTGTAATACTGCAAGTACACACAAATACATACTTATGTTTATAAAATCCTGGATTATGGCATGTGAGAAAATCTGTGCTTTTTACTATCACACATATTTATAGTTACTTATATGTATGCTGCAATTTGCATATAATGTATTTATTGAATTATTTACACACACATAACCACACATACCTTAGTATTGTTATCCTGAGTAGAAGCCATCAAACAGAAGCAATTTTTCCTAAGATAACCTCCACTCTTAGTGACTCCTTGTAGCTACAACCTAAGCACAAGAAAAGCCCACCTGAAGTTTAGTACAGTGGAATCCTGCTGTTCCAAGTTCCACATGGAACTCACCTGGTCACCTGTAAATCCTCAGATCAGCGAGGACAGGTGGACATTGAGGCTGGTTTCAACTCAAATCTGAGCTTCAATGATGCTTTTCTTTGTCTAAAAGAAAAAGACATAATGATTGCTTTTGACCCCTTTTACAGGGAGTAATATACTTAGTTATACAAAACGACTTCATCTTTTAAAAAAATTTTTTGTATTTACTAATCTAACATGCAGTAAGAGCCAAGCCTGTTGGTGGTGACTGAATTTACCTGATTCCTCTCCAGGCGTGTGTTCAAGATGGGAACAAGCAGCTTAACGCTGTGTGCATTTGACTTGCTCACCTCATTTGGCTGGCAAGAGATTTCATGGTGATTGAAGAGACTGTAAGTATATCTTGTCACTTAGGAGCCCTATAAGTGACTCAGCTGAACTTTAAGTAGTGTATGGAGTTCACCTCGAACTTCAGAGATTTGAAAGCCTTACAGCAGGATTTCCAACCTCTGCACTACTCTTTGTTGCTGTGGGGGTTGCACCATTCGCTGTAGGATGCAGAGCGGCGTCCCTGGCCTCCACCCGCTAGATGACACTAACACTGCCCCCACCCGCCACTCTACGACAACAAAAAATGTCCACGGACTTGGGCAAATCCCTTGGGGCGCAGAGTCGCCGCAGGTGAGGGCGACGAGCGGGGCTCAGCGCTGACCTGGGCGAACGTGCTGCTTGAGGCCTCGGGGGAGGAAACCGGACTTCCCGAGAAACGCCGAGCATGCCGACCGGAGGACCCGGGGCCCGTGCACCTCCCCGGACTCGGACCTCGGCCCCCTGCCCAGCTCACAGTGTCCGGGCCCTCGTGAGGGGCCAAATACGCCAACTGGCGGAGGCGAACCAGAGTCGCTATTCAGCGCGCGCCCAGCGACTCCTCCCACGGCACCGCCCCACGCTTCCGCTTCCGGTCGTGGGCGGGCCTTCGCAGCTCACTTCCGGTGCTGGTCCGTCAGCCTGGAAGAGTGAAACGTGGGAGGACTCGGGTATGGGAGGGGACAGGGAAGGCGAGCGGGCCAGCAGCCATGTACTCTTCTCGGGTCTAGTTCTAGTTTAAGTAAATATGTACAAGATTGGGCCCTGGCTACGTCAGCTGCGGAAGGTCGGGTCGGTCTTCGGGGCCTGACCAGGGTGTGGAAGTCGGGGTCAAACAGTGGGCGGGGATCAGTTTGGTGGCGGGACCGGGGGCGGAGACCAGGTTGTGGGAAGCACCAGGCCGGGGCGGGGAGGAGGCGGGGGCGGAGCGGGCTGTGGGCGGGGCTAGAGTGTAGTGGGCGGGGCAAACAGGGGGCGGAGATCAGGTCTGCTGCCTGGACCAGACTCTGAATGGACCTGGCATTGGTTGAAGCCTGGTTCCGGGGCCAGGTCTGTGGATGGAGATTAATTCCAAGGGTAGGGACACAGTTTGGGGATATAGGATGAAGCGATTGTTATGCTAGGAAGGGAAGCTGCTTGGAGAGAGGGAGTGTCAAATTGTGGTCCTGGCCGGAGAGGGGGAGCCATAGCCTCATCTTGTGTATGTGGGAATTGATGTTCTCTGCTGTCTTGGTTGAAATGGCTTCATCTTGAACTTGATCTTCCATTCTCAAGGATGGCCAGGAGGACCACACTGCTGAATGTGTGCTGCAGGGATCTCTGTGGGGCCAAGATGAAGCCCTCAGTTCTCAGGTACAGATGGAATTCTGTTCCTGGTTCCAAGACTATGATAATCTGTGTGACGGGGGTTCTGCTGTCCCCAGTGAAGAAAAGCTCTATGTCATTATCCTTCAAGGAAGGCCTGAGCAGGGAGCAAAGTGGAGGAAGAGCTGACAACAACATTACTTTCCACACGACCTGTGGCCAGAGTACTATTCAGTCTTAAAAAGGAAGGAAAGGCTGACACATGCTGCAACATGGATCACCCTTAAGGACATTATGCTAAGCAAAGTAAGCTAGACACAAAATGACATATCCTTCCATTCATGTGCAGTCCATAAAGATGAAAAGTCGAATGGTAGGATTGGCAACAAGGAGTTAGTTTCAGTTTGGGAAATTGAAAAAGTTCTTGAGATGGATAGTGATGATGGTTGCAAAACAATGTGAGTTACTAATGCCACTGCACTAGGCACTTAAGATGGTAAATTTTATGTTGTATTTTACTGCAATTTAAAAATTTTTTAAAAAATACCTGTGACCAACTAGAAGGTACAGTCTTGTCTGTCTCTTTTCATCTATTGTGGTCTCCCTTCTTCTCTCTGTTTTTCTGTCTCTCTCTCCCCATCTCTTTTTGTTCCCTTCCTCTATGTCTCATCTCTTTATTTTCTCTTTGCCTCTGTCTCCTTCCTCTCTCTTCTCCCTTACTCTCTATCTCCTCTCTCATGTATTCATTTTTCTCCACGTGTGTCTCCTGTCTGCGTCTGCCTATCCATCAAAAAATCTCAGGCCTTGTCCTAATTCCTGCAGGGTCTGCACCCTGATCCTTTGATTCCCCTGAGGAAGAAGTATCACCCCAGACCGGGGTGACCCTGTGAGCTGCACGAATTAGGACAAGGACTAAGGTTTGCCAACAGGTAAATTTACCAAAGCATCCCATTGAACTCCACAAATATATTGGCCAACTAAAATATTCTAAAAGAAGGAAAAGTTATAAAAGTCAACAGCTATGAAATAATATGTAGATAATTTATTATTTATACAATATGATGTAGGGTTAGTATTCTTTTTTATTTGAAATAAATTTATTTTTAATTTATACATAAAACAAAAATTATATTTTGGGGTAATGTGTGATGTTTCAGTACACATATACATTGTGTGATGTTTAAATCAGGTTAAATATATCAGTCTCCTCAAACATCATCTATGGTGAGCATATTAAAACTCCTTCTAGCTCCTTGAAACAGTGTATTATTATTATTATCTGTAGTCATTTGCTTTTTTTGGACTTTGAACTCACAATTGATAGGCAGGCACTCTACCACTTGAGTCATACCCCTAAACCTTTTGCTTTATTTTGTTATTTTTCAGATAGGGTCTCCTTTTTTTTGGTCCTGGGACTGGCCTCAGACTGTAATTCACCTGTGGCCTCCTGTGTACCTGGGATGGCAAGCATGTACCACCATGCTCAGTTTATTGATTTAGAGAGGGTTTTACTCACTTATGCCTTGCTGGCCTCTCACTGTGATCCTCTAGATCTCCACCTCACAAGTAGCAGGGATTATAGGCATGAGCCACTGCGTGCAGCCATTGTTTTATTTTTATACTGCATTCTAGAAATTGAGTTTGTATTTTTCCACTTATAGCATATCTCAAATTATGAGTCACATTTGATCAGATATACCTGCTCTGTGTTTAGATTTTATCAGGTTAACAGTTGTAAAATAGAATTCACTTTTTCAGGTTGTTCCAAATACATGTATAAGCTTTGTACTTAAAAGCTGTGTCTGAAGAATAATGAAAAGTTCCTTTTGGACCTAACAACAAAGGGTCATTGTGACCCTAGTGAGGGAAGGGAGCCATGGAATGGTGAAGGCAAGAGAAGTTTGGTGTGGTCTGAGGAGCTAGTTGGAGGTAAGGTGTTAGAGAAATATGACATAGATTTCCTTGTCTCTATGTTCATGCTAAGGGGAAAGGATAGAAATCAGTGGTTGGAGAGAGATCCTGGGAAGGTTAGACAGGTGTTTCTGTGTAGTTTGGAGAAATGGAAGCATTAACTGCTGAAGGAGGAACTTAGTAAAAAGAAGATGAAGATACAGGGACTGTGTTGGAACATGGGGTTACTAAGTAGGAAGAGGGGATGAGGCTCAGAGCACCATAGGAGGACAAAGGAAATCTCAATATAATTAGAGGAAATTTAGAAACAATGGAAGCTTATCAGAGATATTAGCAGATTTGCAACTAGATGCCTAAAATTTCAGTCCAGTAGTTTACAATTTTCTTGTGAAATATCAAGCAAGTTTAAAGAGAACGTGAATATATACAAGGAAAAATAAAAGTAGAGCAAATTTGAAACAGGCTTTGGGGAAACTCAAAGAGTCAGTATACCAACACATTAAAAGAAAGGAAAATTTCCAGGCATTATGAATTCTTTCCAGTCAATGCTGAATATTTTATATTTCTAGAGGGACCAAAATACCATTTGTGTGTTTTCTTTTTTCAGCAGTTATATATGGCATGGCAGATAATAGTGATGATCTTGGTTTGAAGTTTTATCAGGCAGGCAAGATGAATGGTAAGAATTTTTTTTTTGCCAGTACTAGAGCTTGCACTCAAGGCCTTGTGCTTGGTGGGCAGGTGCTCTACTGCATGACCCACTCCAACCCTTTCTGTGTTAGTTAGTTTTGAGATAGGGTCTTACTTTTATGCTCTAGCTAGCCTAGTTCCCAGTCCTCCTATTTGTTTTTATCCACACAGCTGGGATGATGGGTATGTACCATTATGCCCAACTTTTTCTGGTGAGATGTGATCTTGGGAACATTTTACCTGGACTGACCTTGAACCATGATCCTCCTGATCTCTGCCTCCAAAGTAGCTAGGATTATAGGCTTGTGTCACGATGTGCAGCCTAGGATTTTGAATTATTCCAAGGGAATTATTGAAATCACAGACCATGGACTCTCAGATTGATATGGATAAGGTGGAGGGAAGTTGGATAGTGAGCACCAAAATAGTTTCACAGGAAATATGAGTTCTAATGTAGAGCAGGTGGTTACAGTTCACAATAATTTATTACGTATCTTATAAAGAACTAGAAGAGAGCAATTTGAAGTGTCTCAATACAAAGAAATGATATGTATTTTAGGATGCAGAAATGCTAGTTAGGCTAATTTGATCATTGCACAATGTATACATGTATTGAATTATGACACAGCATCCCATAAATATGTACAATTAGTGTATGTCAATTTACAGAAATGAAGAGAGAGTAAGGTGAAGATATGAGTCTTCAGTAACTTCTTGAGAAACAGGTATCAATTGTATGGATTTTTACACACAAAAAAGCTGAAAATCAGAAAAATTAATTTTTGAGCATGACCATTTGGGTTGATGAAAATGGGGTCTGGGAAATGAGTATCAGTGGGATAGTTGATAATTTCACTAATGAGTTTAGTACCAAAGGGGCTGTGAAAGCCGATTGGCCACTGGCATGACCATATTCAATGGCATGAGTAGTCAAATAATGAAGAGTGGCAGAGCTTGGAATTTAGAAGAACACTAAGGACCATGTGCCATGAGAGAGAGAGTACCAGAACTCACACAGTTGAGAGTGACAAGGAGCCAAGAAAAATAAAAGGATACTCAGGAAATGAGAAAGTTTTGCAGGATGGTGGAGGAGAACTTTGAGCTTTGATTTTGAGCTTTCTGTGCTCAACTCGAAGCCATTCAGTGATGTCCCAGGATACAGGTCAAACCTATCCCCATAGGAAGAGAGGAAGGTTGGTAGTTCAAAAGAGGAGGGATAATTGTCTCTGATAAGTGTCAGGGGATAATAAAAGAAGGCAGACTTCATTTTGACCCAATTTCATGACTTATGTTTATAGGGTAAGAGGAAAAGAAGTCTGATGGCCAAGATTTCACAGAGGAAGGAAAATGACTGTGCAAACCAATCCAGACCCAAGCCTGGTTTAAGCATCTCAGTCCCCTTGAGGATGTCCAGTTACACATTCAAGAGGCCAGTTACTAGAATTACATCCCATCCGGGCAATGAGGTTAGATACCACCAGTGGGAGGAGAACTTGGACAAGCCCCAACAGGTCTGTTGGCAGAAAAGGCTGCAAGGATTCCAGGCCTACAGCAGTGTAGGACAACTTCTAAGTACTTTAGATCTTGCCAGAGCTTTGCAAAAACTTGCACCTAGATGCACAGGTACATCCCTACCAGGGGCTGTGGCTGGTGCTGTGCATGCCAGCCCCACATGTGCCCTTGCCTCTTCACATTCGGCAGAGATGATTCCTGGAGTGGGCCTGGGTGTCTCACAGCATCTCTACAAACAATTTCTGGTTACTGAGGAAGACATTAGGAACCAGGAAAGGAAAGTGAAGACAGCAAGGGAGAGGCTGGCGATAGCATTGATTGCAGACAGACTAGTTAGTGAAGCAGAGAAGGTGAAGGGTCCAAGAAGGATGAACTGATGAAAATGCCCTGAGGAGAAGATGCTGCTGATGAAATGGGCTGTAGCCCTGTTTTAATATCTCTTTGGAGTTATAATTATTATTTTTTGGCTTTGAGCTCTTAAAACCTTAAGCTATACCAATACTTTATTAAACTCCTTTGTGCAGCACAAGAGAGTATAAAAAGTCTTACTTTTTCCTTTCTTTGCTATTTTTTGCAAGGTGGGGATGGAACCCAGGGCCTCACACATGCTAGGCAAATGCTCTACCTCTGAGCTACACCACCCAGCTTAGTAATTTCTTTTTGAGATGAGAAATTGGGTTTTTTAGGTAAGGAAAGAGTTTTCTCTTTCACTTTATATACATATGTTCATTTACTGTTTCCATGATTCATTTATATTTTACTTATTTTTAAACCATTGCATATATTTCAGTTATATGACGATATTTTGATTTACATGTGAGCGAAATTATTACTACAGTCATATCAATCACTTCACAGATTAATTTTTTGTGTATTGAAAGAGCACCTAAAAATCTAGTGTGTGAGTAAATTTCTGTTGTATGGTCCAGTTTTATTGATTCGTATTGCACTTTAGATTTCCAGAATTATCTTTTCTACATAACTATAATTTTGGACTCTTTCATCTGCCTCCCACCCCTGCACAAGGTAATAACCATTCTGTTGTTTCTATATGTTTCACTTGTAGAACATACTACATATAGGTAATACCATGTATTTTTCTTTCAGTGTTGTGCTTATTTTAAAGAATTATTCAGTGTGTTTTCCTTACAGTAGCAAGATAAAGCCTATTTGTTATTTTGTGCAATATTTCAGTATATTCCTAAATAACATTTTACTAAAATCTTTTTATGTCGTTCTCAAATAAGACATCTCCCTTGCTCTATTTGCTGTTTTTGACTGCCTGTTAACTCAGAGTTGCATATAATGAAAACACGAGGCTTTCCCTCCATTTATTGTATCTAAACTGTTTGAAATTTACTTCATCAAAGTTAATATACCTTTGGACGGGATAATTTTGTAGAGACACTGCTTGTTGGAATTCAAAAGTTTAAATCTATTTGTCTTATTTTCTGCATCAAGCTTCCTAGATTATCCAAATCCTCTTTATCATTACTTACTTTTGTTCACTGGGTTTAAGAGTGAGATATTAAAAAAAAAATGTAGGGGTGTGGGTGTGGCTGTGGCTTGAGTGGTAGATCACCTGCCTAGCAAGTGTAAGGCCCTAAATTCAAGCTCTGGTACTGCCAAAAAAATTGTCAGAGTATCTATGTTTATATCGTCCCTAAAATGAATTATTTTCAATTTCATCTTCTATCTTCTATGCTTGCATTTGGCAATCATCTGGAATTTTAGTTAGAATATGTTTTAATGATTTGTTTTACAACTAATACTAGTGTAGACATACTGAATTTTTCCTTTCCTTCATCTTTCATTCCTTCTGTTTTTTCATTCTGATATGTTTTTCTGGGTTCACATTTCTTCTTCCTGATGCACATTCTTTATTGGTTATTTCTCCTGAAGGCCTTCAGGAGAAATAACCTGCAACTTACAGTTGGTCTTTATGTCTGGAAATCTCTCTCTTTCTCTCTCTCCTCATTATGTATTGAAATTCTCCTGCCTTAGCCTGCCAAGTACTGGAATTACGGTGTGCACTACTATGCCCAACTGTCTTCATCTCTTTGATAGATGGCTTTGTATATAACTTAGATTCTAAGTAATTCTTTTCTTTCCCTGTTCAGTTATCTTATTTTTCTAAGTCCCCATTCCTTTAGCTATAAAATGGGAATTGACCCCCTCCAAGGATGGTGTATTAGTCCATGTTGTAGGGATATAACAGAATCCTGCAAACTGCACAATTGCTGAAGAATAGGAACTTATTCTCTGGGTTTTAAAGGCTGGAAATTCTAACATCAAGGTGTCAGGATCTGATGAGGGCCTTCTTGCTTCATCCTCATATGACGGAGGTGGAAGGGCAAAAGAGGACAAATGCTGAGTCCTCATTGGCAGAAGGGAGAAAGCCCACACCCTGAAGCCCTTTTTGATAGAAGTATTAGTCTATTCATGGGTACAGAGCCCTCATGACCAAAACACTTCCCATTAGGCTCCACTTCCCAAGACTCTTGCACTGGGGATTAAGTTTCCAACACATGAATTTTGGAGGGGACACATTTAAACTGCAGGAGATGGAGCATAACAGGGATAATGCATGCAGAGCTTGCCTCCTATGGTGCTTAGCAGATATGAAGTACAGTGCTGTGCCACATGAAGGCATTTCTGTGACTACCAAGTTGCATATACAACCCATATGATGAAATAATCTATCTCTTGGGATGTATCCTTGTTGTTATTTGATGTATTGCTGTAATCAATAAATGATAGTTAGGGCCAGGAATGCATGCCTGGAATTCCAGCTACTAGGAATTAGGAAGATTGTGGTTAGAGGCTAGCCCAGGCAAAAAATTGGTGAGACCTTATCTCAAAAACAAGCCAGGAGTGTTTGTGTACAACTCTAATTCAACTTAATTGGGAGTTGAAGGTAGGAGGATCTTGGTCCAGTGCCTGCCTGGAAAAAAACACTAGACCCTATCTGAAAAACAAACTAAAAAGCTAAAAAAGACAGGGAGTATGGTTCAACTGGTAGAGTGCTTGCTTAGCAAGCATGAGGCCCTGAGTTCAATCTCCAACACGGCCCAAAAAATGATAGGTGCTATTATAATCTTCAGAGAGTGCATTCTTAAAGACTTCTTCAATTAGAAAGTGAAACTCATACCAAAATGTTTGAATTGGTGATGTTTCTGTAATTTTAATTCTTAGCTCATGGGTACCATCACCTGGGGTGGTTTGCGAAATGCCTTCCAGCAACTTCAAGGCGGGACACCTCAGCTGGCCTCGAATCTGGGGTGCTAGGCTTCAGTGGCCTACTTGGATGCAGGGCAGAGAAAGATGGAGAAAAAAAGACTGTCTTGCTTTTATATAGATTCCCCATTCCCCCAAGTTTTATTTATCTTTTTATCCAAAACAGACATCCTCAGGGATCTCCTCAAAACAGAGATCCTCAGGGGACTTAGGCATCTCAGATACCTGGTCATTTCAGCTCCCAAGTCCCAAGGCTGGCTGTGGAGTCATTTCTGACTCACTCAGTCCTTCTTGATTTCATGTCTTGGAGCACAAGGTGAGTAAGGAGCTACCCAACAGGATTAACCTGGAAGGCCTGGTGAAGGTGATGCCAGAGAATGATGTAGTAGAAAAGAAAGTTGAGAAGGCCAGGGCTCCAGGGGCTGGAGAAATATGGAGAAACAGGTATGGGTGCAATGGCTGGCATTGGAGTCAAAGGCAGGCACGTAGTGGGTGACTAAGAAGGGAAGCCTCACATTGAAATGAGATGTTGATTTTATACAATGGTAATTTTTGCACTGGTTTCACCAGTTCTGGGGTCCTTGAAGGATGACATGGTGTGAAACCACTAGACACAACATAAAGTGCCTTCAGGACTTAATGAAGGAAAAAGGCTTCTCATTTTATCCCCAGTGAACTGAGCAGGGGCCAAGTCAAGAAAGGTACAGAGGCTGTGTCCAGCCACTGTGGTTTATTTATTCTTTGACCCCTGGCTGGGGAAAAGGAGCCCCAGCAGGTGGATTCACTGCAGCTTCCTCAGGTCCAGGTGAGGCAGGTAATAGCCTGGGAGGTGGCGCTGCACCTGGTAGTCTCCCTCCTTCCGCCGGCACATGATCACCTGTGAGAGGAAGGAGAGCATCAGGATGGATCAGTCAGTCACCTAAGTAGGGGAGACTTCAGGGGTGAGAATATCACTGAAGGCTTCCCATGTCCTTCCTCCTTTTCCACCTGGTTTTCTTCCCAGTCCTTCTCTCTCCTTTTTCAATTTTCAAAAACTTTTCCCCCTCTGAAATCCCCTTTATTTCTCTTATCCCCCCAGTTTCTTTACCAATAACTTAATCATTTATCATTCATCTACTAATCATATATAAAAATTTTATCATCAGTCATCTATTACCTGTTACCCACTTATCAATCACCTATCAATTGTCTACCATCTATCATGTATCTATCATCTATCTTTTATTCATCATCTATTAATGTCTACAGTCTACCTACCTTTTAATCAATTATGTTTAATGAACCTACCATTTTTTTCTCATCTCATTCTCAATCTTTTTCTTCCTCTGTATCCGTCTCTCTCTCCCTTCTTCCCTTCTTCCATTGTTCCCTCCCCCATCTCTCCAGTTTAACCAAGTCCTTTATGCTTTGGTTAAGGCATAAATAGTTGGTTTAAACTGCACGCATTTAAAATGAGATTTAGCCAGGCATGGTGAGGCATGCCTGCAATCTCAAAACTCAGGAAGCTGAGGTAGGAAGATCACAAGTTCAAGGCCAGCTTCGGCTACATAGCAAGTTCAAGGCCAGTCTCTGGGCTGTGTAATGATACCCTGTCTCAAAAAATATTGCTCAATGTATAGTCAAAGATTTGATTATAGTTTACTACATTTATCACTTCAACAGGGATAATTATCCTTAAAGGTTTTCTACTCCTTTATAATTCTTTACCTGCCACTTGCAAACATATTTTCATCCCTAGGAAGCCACTGATGGGATTTCTGTCCCTGCAGATTAATTTGTATTTTCTGGAATTTGCTTATAAATGGAACCATACAGTATATTCTCTTTTGTTTGGTTTCTTTCACTCAGAATAATTATTTTGTAATTTGTGCATCATGTTGCATGTATTAACAAATTGTTCTTTTATGGCTGGATAGTATTCTATTGTTGGAATATCCCTGTTGATGGATACTGGGGTTGTTTTCAGTTTGGAGTATTATTAACAAATCTGTTATGAAAATTTGTGTACAAGTCTTTGTATATAAGCTTCTATTTCTCTTGGATAAATTAGTAGGGTGGGATGGTTGGGTCATATGGCAGGCATACATAACTTTCAAAGAAATAACCAAACTAAGTTCTACTAGCTCTCAATTTGAGTTCC